TCGCGGCGTTGGACGATCGTTACCAGCACCAATAATCATACCATCACAAACGACAAACAAGAGCTTTCTCTTGTCGTCGTAACGCATGGTAGCAACGGATTCCAAAGTTTTGGTCAACGAATCAGCACCTTCTGTGTAGCAAGGCACCATGCAAATGACAAACTTGTCTCCAGGCTCTGGATCTTTCTTCGCACCAAATTGCAGTGCAGCCAAGAACTTGACACCAATGACAGCCACAATAACAATCGAAGCAACCAACAGCAAAGATTGAGAGAATCGACATTGAAGCGTGTCACGACGATCGACTGTACCAATGTAGAACATGTTGTTGATGCAAGTGAGAGCGTTGGCTAGGTCTGCTGCATTCGCTGCACTCTGGAGAGAGGCTGCTTTCCATGCTGCAGAGATATCATTGCCTGCGTTTGACTGTGCCAACAGCGTTTTGACCAATGGACTGAATGTGTTGGATGGAAGCGTGTAGAACGGACTAAGATAGTAGACATTATCGTAAAGGATCATGTAGACCTAAGATCAATAACAATACCTTGGAGTTGGAGCTCAGTGCCTTCACAGAGTCGACAGACCAACCAATGCGGCCGATGGCATACTTGTTCATGTATTCGACGTAAGGCTGTGGATAGCCAGCTGGAGCAGTGGCGCGATGGATTGCGTTGTCAGGACTCACCAATTTACGGTTCATCCAGTCAACGTTGGCATCCAAGTTGTCCCAGGACATTGGTGGTGCTGGCAAGTTTGGACAGTACAGTCCCCACAGATCATTCTTGTAGAACAGGTTAGAGACATCCTTTCCTTGGAAGGCAGTGATCTGGTAGTTGCGCAAGGCTGCCTTTCCACTGGATCCCTCACCATAGTCCTTGACGTGCTGTGCCATGAGCTCACTCACATCATAGTAACGGCCATAGGCAGAAACAATGGCTTTTTGTCCAGAGTTGGAGACAATGCCTTGGATTTCACTCAATGTCTTCACATTGATTGGAGGGCAAATGACATATCTGAGTCCAATAATCACAAACAAGATTGCACAGCACAGGAAAAAGATGATGATACATAGCGCAACCTTTTCTCTCCATGCCATACGAATGTCTGGTCTGACTTTCTTGAACATGGGGATCCACCAAGTCAGAGACCAAGTGCAGCATACCCAAGCACGACGAGTGAATGTGACTTCCTTTGGTTCTTCGATTGGCACGAGCGGAGGCTGCTTGCTTGAGACCTTGCCCATCTCAATGTCATTGGATTTTCCAGGCTTGGATTTTCTGGATTGTTCTTCAACAAAGCCGTACTCTGACTGATACTCGGAGCCATTGTCTGACTTGTAGTCATCATCTTCTGCATCTGGTCTCTTAGAGTTTCTGTAATCCATTTGCTCCTGCACTGGTGGAATTGCTTGCGAAGGTCTAGGCTGTTCTAATACAACACCATCCAAACGCTTGAGGGCTTCATTCATCCACTGCCAGCGAGAGAACGAGAGGAAGATCATGGTTTCTCCAAAACAGACCTCGCGAGCTGGCCACCATTGCTTTGTGATCACTTGCTTAACCATCTCTTTTGGATCTGCAGTGGCACGAGAAGCACCAAATGATGCCAAAACTGGTGCATAACGCTGTGCAAATGCATCGTAACGCATGCCATTTCCAGTATCGACATCAAACGTGGAGCGTGCTTGCGCAATCTGGATAAGATTGAAGTTGTCGATTGCATTTCTGACCAATGATGCAGACATGCTGTTGGTGTCTGAGCCAGCACAGAAAATGGTCCACAGACGCGTTCCTTGCAATGTCTCAATCAAGTCATTCACAGCAGTGTCGCATGCGCTGTATGAAGAAACAGTGCTTGGATCTTCAGACTTGGACATCTTGCGCTTGATCGAAGGCTTGCGCTTTGGTTCGTTGGATTTTTGAGCACCAACGATACGACCACGGCCAGACTTGACAGTGCGCACACCGTTCTCCTTTGAAAACAATCCAGCAATAAATGTGGATTCTTCAGCAGTGTTGGAGGACTCGCTGCCAGTCTCAAGAACGGCAGAGGGTCTGAAAAGAGCCACAAAGTCAGACATGATAGCGTCTTCTTCAGTAAATCCATCCAAGTCGTAATCAATCGATGGCTTAGAGTTGTGAAAGTGTCTGACACCAAACAGAGCACGTGCTGTGCCTGTTGCAGATGTATGACCAGAAGCACAGAATTCTGAGACAACAAAGTGAGAGTTTGGCTTGAGCGCATTATCAAGTGCATTTGAAATGTCCATGGCAAGATTGGAATCTTTCTCTGCTTTCTTTTGTGCACAATCATCCATGACTTTCCAGAGACCTGGCAAAAGAGAGGTTCCCATGAATAAGTCAATGACGATCTGGTTGTCAAGATAGTCAAACTGTGGAACGCGCACACCTTCTGCTTGGAATAACTCGAATGGTGCGTCAAAGTGCTTGTCCATTGTAAAGTGATAGAGTCTTTCCTGGAAATAGTTGCTAAAGAGTGTGTCAAAGTTGCCCAGTTGGCCAGCAGGTGGCTGACGGAACCATGGGAAATCTGCAACAGCCACAAAGGCATCCACTTCCTCTTCAGGCTTGCACAGACGCTTGTTCAGATGCTCAATGAGCCAAGAGAACAAGAGGCTGTAGAGCGTCTCTGCCAAACGGTCACGCTGTTCAGCAGCACGGTCTGCTTTCAAAATCACTGAGCACAACTCCTTTCCGATGAGCTTTGACATGTACAGCATGGCATTTTCAAGACTCGTGGAGCTGAGAGACAACAGTTGCGCAGCCATATCCAAAGGCTCGCGGTTTTTGATCACACAAGGGCTGTTTTCTGGCAGAGAGTTGTCATCAAAGAAAACGATATTGCCAAGATGTAAGATGGCTGCAAGAACCTTGAAGATTTGAGACTGTGTGCGTCTGCCGATGCCGAGTGACTTCAGCTGGTCACATGTCTTGGCGAATTTGTCAGCATCTTCTCTGGTAGGGATTGCATCAGGGTGTGCTGGGATGTCCTTTCCAGATTTAGTGTTGGATCTGCCAAGTGTTGCGAGTCTGCCGAGTGTGTTTGAGCGAGACACAGTGTTGGAGCGAGAGAGCGTGTTCGATCTGGAGAGAGAAGCTCTGGCACCTTTGAGATATGCAAACGAAGATGGATCTGCGATTCTTAGAGTGTCTTTTTGATCCTGCGAGGCGCCAGCAAGGAGCTGGTAAAAGATGTGGAAGGTTCTGTCACCAGCCTCCAAGAGCGGTGCATTAGTGACTCTGTTCTTGTCCAGACAGTAGTCTACAAGCTTGACACCAATCATGCGACCAGAATTCGAGTATTGATACTCTGTGTATCGGCCATACATTGACGAATTGACAGAACCTACACTCTGTGCAGCACCAAATGCTTCTAGGACATGTTCCATCTTTGCAGCGCCAGAGAGGACCTTGCTCTTCTTTTTACCGTTACGGGCGGTGTCTACCAACTGCTGCGACAGCTGCTTGTAAACGAGCGTCTTTCCTGATCCCCTTTCACCCCTATTGTAATAAATAGTACATCAAGATGATGGTTTGGTCCTGCTGTGTTGCAAGCAGATCGTTGAAAGCTGCACTCGCCAATCCAAGAGGATGAGGTGTTGGATTGGTTCCAGACGCATAGTCCTGTCCTTTTGCGTTGTCTCTGATCATAGGCATGGTCACTAGGAGCGTTTGCTGTCCCAAACGCACGCAAGAGCGGCCAACGCTTACTCTTTGTTCTAAAATGCTGAGCACTGTATCAGGGGAGTGTGATGCCAAGTATTCTGACAAGTCGTCAGTCTCTTGAGCCCAATCCATTGCAAAAGCACGAGAAGAGAAGATTGTTGTTCGAAACGTCAGCAATCACGTGATCCTGCGGCCAACCACTTCGAGGCTTGCTGCACAAACTTGAGATGCTATCCTGTCACAGACACATGTTAAGAACCAAATCGATCAAAATACCTTGCATTGACGACAAGTGCCAGCCACTGACGCGGCTCGCTTGCAGTGTAGACGCCATCTCTCTTATCTGGGAAGCTACAGATTTCTTGTTTCTGTAAAAACAAGAACGCGAGTCCATGTCTTCGTTTGAGTGGGCGATCCCTCCATCGCCTACAAATCACGTTCACACATGCATTTGATTGAGCATCACCAGATCTTGGATGCCCACAACAGAAATACACACTGCAACAGAAAGATGGTTCATTCAAATCAATTCAGCAGCAACGCAAGGCCACAGACTGCTGACACAATCAATCCACCCAGGAGTGGTGACAGTGAAAGGCCATATCCAGCGTTTGTGTTTGCTGGCAATGGGTTTGTGTAGGGCTGTACGTTGAATGGCACGAGCAATCTAAACTCGGCTGTGCCAGGATAAGGCCATTGGTCATGGACACAAGAGACTGTCTTTCCTGCTGTGAATCAGTGTACCTGCTTTCAGACCTCCAGTGACATCAATATTGTCAGGCACGACCACAACTTGGTAGTTGCCTCCTGCGACATTGTTAATCGTTCCAAATGCTGTCTTGCTCTTTGGAGGAGCGATGACCCAGCTTGTCCATGCGTCTGTGCCAACTTGTCGATAATAAATATTCACCGATTGCGTTGGGTACTGTGGGTCAGCAAGGTCGGAGTAGGTCCATGTGATGTTGATAGGCTGACCAACGTAAAAGTAAGCAGTTGTGTTTGGACTAGCAAGGCGAACGAGACCTCCAGTTCCTGGCAAGGCGCAAGACACTCCAGCACAAACAGTGTTGTAAGGATCACATGTTGCTGAAGGTGCTGGTGCTGAAGTTGCTACTGTCGAAGAAGGTGCTTGTGCGGCTACGAGTTGCAACAGTGTCAGAATCATTTCTTGCGGCAAGTCTTGGCGTGATCCATCGAAAAATATCGAGAAATCCAGAATACTACATTTCATTCAGTCAGCAGAATCAAAATCACTAGACAAATCAAATTTGGATATTTACCAATTTGATCAAGTGGTCTGTTTCAGATTTCCGAGGGCGGATGGCCGAGTGGTCTAAGGCGCCAGAATCAGGCTCTGGTCTCGAAAGAGGCGTGGGTTCGAACCCCACTTCGCTCACTCTTTTGCCTTTATTTTTGAGAAGCTGCCTTTTTTTCTAGCGTGTACAGTGAAAGCATGTGTATATTGTTTGTGTGTAGAAGATGCGGGTGTTGACAGTGGCTGTGAACCGCATCTTGGTGTTCCATCGTTGGATAGCCACTGGCGTGGTCTGCTTTACTGAATGCTACTGTAGAAACATCAGATATTGCTAGATCTGAGTCAGGGGTGCGGGTAGGGGATCCCATTTGCCATCTCCACATCACTTGACGAGTGTGACCGCAGGGGATGGGAACACATCAAGGGATGAAAGGTCCCACAACTGATCAGATCAGCAGCTGACAGAGGGTATGTCAGGGTATGTTGGGGACATCACGCGACCGCGTCCGCCTTAAAAACCGACCGGGATTCCGTGAAGATCATGTTCACATTGCTCGTCGGTGCTGCTCAAGGCCTTGCTGTTTCTTGCTCTGATCTCTACGGTCAATGTGGTGGAAAGACTTGGAATGGTCCAACCTGCTGTTCTGTGGGTGTGTGCCAACCAAATGGAGAATACTATTCCCAGTGCGTCCCTGATGGCACTCCATCCAACACACCTGGATCGCCTTCCAACTCTCCAACAACCACGTCTGCAGTACCACAGCCCACCGTGTACCCCAAGGGTGTCAATCCATACGTCGGCGCCAAGGGTTTCATCAACCCAGAGTATGTGGCTTCTGTCGATCTCTCTATTTCCAAAGAGCCAAGCATCAAGGACGCTGCCGAAAAGGTCAAGCAGTTTTCCAGCGCGATCTGGATTGATACCATGAAGAATTTGGAGCGCATTCCAGTCAACATGAAGCTCGCTGCCAAGCAAGCCTCTGCAGATGCCCCAGTGGTGATCCAGTTTGTGGTGTACGATCTTCCAGGCCGTGATTGCAATGCACTAGCTTCGAACGGTGAGATTCCAACCGGTGGCTTGGCTACATACAAGGCCGATTACATTGACAAGTTTGCAAAGCTCCTTGCCGACAATGCTGATCCAAACGTGCGAGTGGTGTTGATCATCGAGCCCGACTCTCTTCCAAATCTCGCCACGAACCTCAACAACCCACGTTGTGCTGCTGCTCAAGATGACTACTACAGCGGTGTTGCTTATGCACTTGCAAAACTCACGATGCCAAACGTCTTCATGTACATCGACTGTGCACACGGTGGATGGCTCGGATGGCCTGACAACAGACAAAAGATCGGTCCCATCTTCACCAAAGCCATTGATTTGGCCAAAACCTTGAATCCAAAAGTTCAGGTCAACGGATTTGCAACCAGCACTGCAAATATCTCTCCGTTCAACGCCAACGGCACAGCACCTGCTACTGATGGCCAACTCCAGCTCCAGAACGGAGAATACGTCTTCCAGGGTAATCCATGCATTGACGAGAACCTCTACACGTCCAAGTTGGCACCGCTCTTCTTCCAACAAGGTTTGCCAACCAGATTCATTGTGGACACTGGTAGATCTGGTCAAGCTGGTATCAGAAAGCACTGGGGGAGTTGGTGCAACATCAAAGGCATGGGCATCGGTGAGCGACCAAGAGCAGATCCTGCACCATTGATTGACGCATTTGTCTGGATAAAGCCACCAGGAGAGAGTGACGGCATCTCTGGCCCACAAGGTGTCCCAAGACTCGATGGTTTCTGTGACCCAACGACTTACAACGGTGCAGACTCCATGGATGGCGCACCACAAGCTGGCGAATGGTTCCATGAGCAATTTGTCATGCTTGTCAAGAAGGCAAATCCTCCACTTTGATAAAGTTCATTGTTTCAGAAAGCACAACTGGCTGAGCAAGTGCATTGGTCCAATGCTTTCAAGTCTTTCAAGATCTTGCTCTGACTTGACCAGAATCATACCAGCAAAGCCAACACTGTTGACACTGATTCTCTCGTAAGCTTCTTGCTTGCGTGGCACTATCAAGAGCCATTGCTTTGTGAAGACAACGTTGTAGGACACGAAATTTTGAGGTTCTTCAGATATAGTCTCCAGCAACGATCCAGTATGTTCCAGCTGTGTTTGTGCTAAAGCAGATCTCAAAAGTCTGTCATACACTGATTTGAAGACCTGTGCATCTCCAGATTCTGGAATTCTCTCAAAAGCGTGTACAAATGGATACGGCGTCTGTTGATCCAAAGCTTGCTCAAGTGGGATAGTATCGATGACAGGCAAGAGCTGAATGTGCTTGTGCAAGATACTCGCGCCAGATTGTGGTCCACAATTGTAAAAGCACATGTATCGCTCATCGAGTGCATCTAGAACAGACAGACAAGCTTCAAAGTCTTTGAGAGTGATCATCGCATACTGCGAAACAAACGATTTTGTTGCCAGAATGAGATGTCCCATGTTGATGCAGTACTTGTTGAGGACAAGGTTGTGATGTTCCATTTCATGAACAAGTAGACCCTTTTGAGGCGGTAAAAATGGGTTGAACTGTTGTTTCGATTGCAATTGAGATGCTGGTTTCTTTGTCAGATGGGGCAACAACCTGACTTGGAAAGGAACAGTATCGTTAATTGTCTTGAGTTTTGTCTCAGTGTACACAAGATCTCCACCTTCCAGGGCTTGTTTTGCAATGTCTTTCACTCGTTGCGACAACATTGTCAAGAATTTCTGCCAAATCCACTCAATCAAGGCAAGATCCCAATCATCCAACAAGCAAAAGGAAGTATTATTCCAGAATCAAAAATGAAAAAGTGAGGAGTGTGGGGTTCGAACCCACGCCCTTTCGGACTACGGCCTAAACGTAGCGCCTTGGACCACTCGGCCAACTCCCCCGCAAAAATCCGACTTCACCAGTTTATTATCAAGCTTTGGCTTCCCGATTTCTTTTGTCATTGTTTTTCAAGAGCTTTGGACAACATATGATTCATAAGTATTGAAAATCACTCCTAGATGAACGGAAGCCAGTGATGCCATCTCTATCCGGAAAGGACACCCACAAACACTCTTTTTTCAACGTCTTTGTCATATATGGCTTAGAAGCTGATAGCAGTGGGAGAAAGAGAGAAAAGAGATGAGAAGATCTTTGGAAATGCAACAATATGAGTTTACACATCAAGCTTGTTCTCCCGTAGATACTTGAGTGCCATGAGTGTTGTTTGAACAGCAGGAAGCATCATCTCACCACGATGGATGACTGCATCGAGTTCATCAAGTGTCAAGTCTTGGATCTCGATCGATTCTTCTTCATCTCTTGGCTTGGGAGATTCGTCTACAATGGGATTGAGACAGAGAAAGGGCATGAATCGATTGGTGCACCATTTGAGCTCACTTATGCCCAAATGGCCAGATGGCAATAGTTGCACCCACTCTCCGCCTTTGAGGAACGCTTCTTCAGAGAGCTCATGTACAGCGGTTTCTTGAATGTCCTTGTGCTTTTGTTGATCAAATCCACCACTGACAAGATTGTAAAGGACAAGATTTGGGCCTTGTGCATACTCTCGTAGCACTCGCACAGTCTTGGTAGCTGTAAAGAATGGAAAGACAACTGTAAAGCACGGATTCTTGTGCTGGTGTCCAACCACATCCCATTCGATGCGTTTTTGGTTGAACTGTGTGGTGCGGTTAGTGAGTTTCAGATATCTGGAAAAGAGCAGTTGTTGTGAGATGATTTCAAAGGCATTTTCTTGTCCAATCTTTGGAAGCATCTTTGCGAGTCTTGCAAAAACAATGACAACACCAAGCAGGCTGTTTTCACAGGATCTCTTAAAGATCGCAGTTGCGGATATGCTGCGTATCCAAGGTCTGGACAAAGCAAACTCACAGTGTGTGTTGCTGTTGGTTGATATTGTGGAGCGATACATGTCAAAACTCGCTCAGCAAGCACAGCGTATGGCAGAAGAGAGTGGTAGAACACATGTCAACTATTTGGATTTGCTTTCAACCTTCAGTTTGGTACCCGTTGACGTGCAATCCCTTGAGGATTACATCAAAGCCTTGAATCTGCAAAAGACAAAGATGCAAGAGAAGCTGAAAGGAAAAGAAGAGGTGGGGTTTTCATTCCCGAGACTGGAGCCAGGGCAATTTCCTCTGAGTATTCGATCTGAAGCTAGTGCCACAACTGCTGCAGTCTGAAGACGGGGAGAAATCAGAAAAGATGGATGAGGCATCAGACGATGGAGAGATTTTCGACGAGATCTTACCTCCTCTTCCAACAGAGGCAGATTACAACTTTCCGCTCTTTGACGAGGAAGATGAACAGAACACATGGGAAGAAGAGCTGTATGGTCGACTGGATCAGGATCAAGACGAAATTGAAGATAATCCATACTACATGACCATGACAGCAGAAGAAGCGCGCCTAGATGAACTCAACTATCCGATCATTCAAGTACCTGAATTCGGTAATCAAATGGATCAGGAACCACAAACGGAAGATCTTGAAAAGTTGATCATTCAGTGTCAGGAACAACTGTCTCTGGAACCAGACAACAAGCCAGCATTGACGATGGACCACATTTCAAGTATCATGATCCAACGCAGACACTCTACAGCCATACCAACGGTCACTCGTGAACCCACATTGCCTACACAATCGATCATTAATGAGATGGTAGTTGTCCAGCTGCCAGTCTTGTACGGCCACTTTGGTGTGGATCGTCTGCCAGAACAAGATCAAGCGACAGATGAGATGATGCTGGAAGATGTGATCCAAAAGGAAAAGCCAAAATCAAAGTCACAGCCAAAGAAAAAGGCACAGGCACCCAAAAAGGACAAGGAGAAAGAAAAGGAAAAAGAAAAGGAGAAAGAAAAGAAACCAGCAGAAGAAGTCATTCAATGCATTTGTGCGAATCCCACTGTAGATTACGGCCTGTTCATGGTGGCATGTGATGTCTGTCACTACTGGTTCCATGGTCAATGTGTGGGTGTTGAAAAGGAAGTCCCAGAATGGAGATGTGCCAAACACCAATGATGAATAAACCCGTCCTCAGGAAGGCTCTCCAAACTTTTTTTTCACTTTTCGTTTTTGCTCTCTCAACAGAAT